AAAAAAAAAAAAAAAATTTTTTTTTGTAATAAGATTGTAATGTATTTGCCTACATGTGGCATTTAGATAAAGTGCTGGTGCTGTGATCATCCTTTCACTGTGGGGTCCAGGAACTATAATTTTGCAGAGCCCAATATTTTATTCCTTACAGATTCTTTTATCCGAGTTGTTTGCAGTACATAGTCATTAAACTTAAACCAGACCAATGGGTCAGGTGCCCTGGCCAAGTGAACCGAATTGGTTTGCACAGTTGAACTGTTTAGCATTCCAACTGGTCAAGACCTGCATGAACCAGTTCAAACCAGGTAACCTGCGGGTTTTGAAGAAAACTGGTTCGGTTGAACCACTCCAAAACCAAACCCATCAAGAAAAATGCAAATGACAATTTGGGAGGTTCAAACCCTGATGTTCTATGTGGTATAGTTGAATGCGTACCACGATGACACGCTAAAGCATATTTCTTCAATGTTTGGAAATAATATATATCTCAACAGTGAAATAATTTATTTTTTACAATTTAAAACTTTCATTAATTTAAGAATTAAAAATAAAAAATATAAACGCTATTTGAAGAATTCAAATAATACCTTTAAAAATTCCTATATTTTGGGAATAAAAATATGAAACTAAGTGTTGGGTATTGTAACCAAAATATTGATCATGATTTATGTTTTATTGTTAAAATATAGAAGAAATGAATCAATGACCCATCGATTATAAAATTTTTTTATACACACATAATTCTTTAGTTTGAGAAATATATTTTATCCAGATTTACGATCCAGTAGTGATCCACTGGTTGAACATTTGGCCTCATTTACCAGACTCCCAAAGGTTATCCCGGTTGACGACCGGGTCGGGTCTGATAATTATGTAATACACGTTACTATTTGATGCTCCAAGTGGTTTTCTTTTGCTGGTTATTAGGTTTTTCCATTGCTGTAGACTTTCCTCATTAGATAAAAACATTGACCACAAAACAGTAACTTTTGTATCGTCCGTGTTCAGTCAGTTGCGGAAGCTGCAGAGTATGTATGGGATTGTTATAGATATGACTTTGGAACAGATTATTCTGGTCTTTTCAAAGCACTTTCTCATGATAACTATAACGTTCGAGTTGCTGCTGCTGAGGCATTAGCTGCTGCTTTAGATGAAAACCCTGATACGATACAGGTATATTCAAATCCATCTCTCCACTCTGAAATAAATTGCCGATGTGGATTGCCTTACTGTTTGTGAATGCCTTCAGGAATCACTGTCGACACTGTTTTCTTTGTATATCCGTGATGCTGGATTTGGTGAGGATAACATTGATGCTGCTTGGTTAGGCAGACAAGGGATTGCTTTGGCTTTACTTTCTGTGGCAGATGTACTTGGAACCAAAGACCTCCCTGTTGTGATGACATTTCTGATATCACGGGCGCTGGTAATCATTTCCTGCTCATGTTTCACTGTTTAATATTTACATTGATTTCTTGTAATCATTTCTTGAATGCATTCTATTACCATTGGTTTTATTATCACTAATGTGCCTGGCACCCTACTGCTTTACCTATGGTTATATCATGTTTTCTGTGGTATATAATTTATGGAGAGAACCTGACCTTGTTACCTGATTAGTGGCATTCATGGTTAATTGATAATTAATGACTTGCGATAGTTTTTCTGACTTAGGTGACTGCAGAAAAAGTAAATCATTATGTAGCTTTTCCTCACTTTCCTGCTGTTCTGTTCTAATTAACAGAGAAGCTGTAACCTTTTTTGTTTTACCATATCATTGTAAGGAACTTAGAATCTGCCACTACTTCAGCAACTGGTATATTGGGTATATTGAACATAACAAGTCAAATTACTAAGTATCTGCAATTTTTGTTGGGATGAAGGAGACATTGTCTTTTCCATCTTTACTAAGTAGATTTCCACTAACTTCATCTTTATTTCTTATTCTTACTTTCTCCTTTTTGAATTAAAGGTTTGATTACTTTGAACTGCAGGCTGATGGTAATGCAGATGTCCGAGGTCGGATGATTGATGCTGGTATTACTATTATTGATAAGCATGGAAGGGATAATGTGGCATTGTTGTTTCCCATATTTGAAAACTACTTGAACAAAAAGGCAAGTGCCCTACAAAAGTTTCCCCGATTCTTATGTTTCAAGAATCTTAAACGATGTCGTATGGTAGATGTTCATATCTATGTGATATTCTTTTACAGCCTCCTGCATCCAGTGATTGCCATTGTATAGTTCTTCTCCTTTATTTAATTCAAGATATATATAAAAGGGGACTAGGATACTTATTGAAAGCATTATAAAATCTTGTCCTTGTCTTGTCATTTACGTTTTATTTTGCAGGCCTCAGATGAGGAAAAATATGATTTAGTGCGTGAAGGAGTGGTTATATTCACTGGGGCTCTAGCAAAGCATCTGGCCGAGGTGTTAATACGTTCTTATGTAAATCTATTGATACAAAGTTGGAGGTATTATCTGAAATTCAATTTTTATTATATTTTTTTGACAGGGAGACCCAAAGGTTCATGCTGTTGTGGAGAAGCTGTTAGATGTGATAAACACTCCTTCTGAAGCTGTTCAAAGGGCAGTTTCAACTTGCCTTTCTCCATTAATGCAATCAAAGCAGGTGCATCCGGCTCTTGTAAACAACTATCAGTGTCATTTAAATGAATTTTGATTTGTTATTTTCCCCCCTGTTGAATAAGATTTTTCCTAGGAGAAAACGTAGATATATCATCTAGGGAAGAGAAAGCATTTATCATTTTTGAGTTATCTGCAATTCCTGATCACATATTTCATTGATGCGTGGGGCAACAAAACTACCTTCCCACAGATGCAGTGTCAATGTTTTTCCTGTTTATTAGTTCTAAAATCTACTTTGGATTTCCCATTCATAACGTGGTAACTAATAATGTATTTTTGGTTACTGAGTTCGACTTTTTGGGGTTTTCCCTTATCTGACACCTTAATTAGAATTTGCTCTTAATATCTGATTCATGTTATTTGTGTTTTACATGTTACTTTCCTTCTCACTTATATTTAATTGCACCAGGAAGATGCCCCTGCTCTTGTTTCTAGACTTTTGGATCAGCTGATGAAGAGTGACAAATATGGTGAGCGTCGTGGAGCAGCATTTGGTCTAGCTGGGGTGGTTAAGGGATTGAGAATATCTTCTCTGAAGAAGTATGGCATAATCACAGCCTTACGTGAGGGTCTTTCGGACAGGTCTGTTCTATGAAATGGTTTTGAGCTATTTTTGATTTATCTTTGTCACAGTCCTCATGACTACTTCACCAAGACGAGAAATATGAGATATCAAATATGAAGTTGCTAAAATATCTGGACTTCATTGCTTTTTCACCTCTAAAGATTTACATTCTTGATAGACTAACCAATTATTACTTATCTTTCCTTGACCACGACATTTCTTATCGTATCATAGCACGATCTACAATCTCTGTAACCCCTTGAATGATGCGACATGGTATAATAATTCTGTCTCATCTTGATTTTAGTTTTCTTGGGAACTTGAAGGCTAGGAAATCCTGTAGACATTTTGGTTGGTGAAACTATGGGAAGTTGTAAGCTGAGTAAGGATGCTAGTGTGGGAACGTTGAGAAAGGGAAAGAGTATTGTGCACAAATGCTTGTCAAATTGTTGAAGGAGCCCTTGGCTTCAGTGCTATGGTTAGACGATGACATAATAATTAAGGATCAAAGAGAATGGGCTATTGTAAATGAGAGTCATATTTGTGTGTGATATTCATAGTGGTAATATGATCAAGGATATACCCTCATTTTGTCCACAATTAACTATTATCAATGAATGGAATAGAAACCCATCCCCAATGCCCCCGTATTTGATACTCATTGGCATCGACCTAGCATTGTCAACTTGTGAGACTCACTTACCTGACATCACGTTGACTGCCAGTCACGAGACTCCTCTCCTTTCATTTGCGGCGACCCAAGTAACCAACCTAGCGTCGTTACCACTTCTAGTTGGTTGGCGATGGCTTTGAGATGAAAACGAAAATCAACATAAGAATTTTACGTGGTTCGGCGATGTGCCTACGTCCACGAGAGCGAAGCGGAGGGTTATTTTCTGTACGGGTCTTAAAGTCTTATATGGGCCCAGGCTAGGATTAGTATAAATAATATGTTGTAACCCTATTTTTGACAACTGAATAAAGAAATCTCGGTTTCGCTCTCGTGGACGTAGGCACATCGCCGAACCACGTAAAATTCTTATGTTGATTTTCGTTTTCATCTCTTTAATAAGGTAGGATGCAAATTTGCCCGAAACAACAAATAAGGCTAAAAAGCCACCACCCCTACTCAACCAAGTTGGCATCCATTGATTGAAGATCGCCACATGCGTGGGTCTTCGGTGTGTGGACCTCATGCAAATAGACAATGCCACATGAGGCTTAGTCTGAATTGAATCAAGTTAGGATGACTTATGTTGTTGCCCTCTCTAGTCGACACAGTATTTCTCAGGTTGAGTGAAGTGTTGTGTACGTGGCTCATATAGAGTGGAACACAGGTCCTGGATCAAATTGGCCGATGCCGGCGCGGAACGGAGCGCATCGACGGCATCGGCCTTGCATGGGTTTAATTCACTGTTTGGTTGTTAGGGACGCTGAATAGGTTGGGAGTGCGGGGGCAACGCTCCCGCGGTACGGTACAGGGTAATTTTCTGTACGGGCCTTAAAGTCTTATATGGGCCCAGGCTAGGATTAGTATAAATAATATGTTGTAACCCTATTTTTGACAACTGAATAAAGAAATCTCGGCTTCGCTCTCGTGGACGTAGGCACATCGCCGAACCACGTAAAATTCTTATGTTGATTTTCGTTTTCATCTCTTTAATAATGCGCATAAAATCCAACATGAAGCTAAAGAAAATCTGTTGATCCAGTGATTCTATGTCCCAAAGGATTGCATCTATAGAATCTTACCTTCACTTGGTTGAGCCGACTATCATTCTTTGGATGATGAGGAGGCAGTTCTGGTTGGCAAGTTCTCGCAATAGAAGCCTAGCATGATTAAAGTACACGAGAATTTTCTAATATTTGGACTTTGTGGCTACTTTTTTAATCTTGCGAGTAATTGATGTCAAACATATTCTAATACACCTACCTTATGATGATGATTATATTAGGATGTTCTTGAAACCTGTGTGGTATATTGATGGTTGTCCTATGCGAGTTTTTTATGGACATGCGTGTTGTGACTTCTGGCCTCAACATAAGACTCGATCACACCTTTATGGATATCTTTCCCCTTCTTGCTTGTACGTATGCGGGCTAAGGAATTCTTATCTGCACTATCTAAGGTAGTGAGTTGCCTTGAAAGATTGATGAGGCACGCGTGACTTACACAGACCCAGTGAGGCTAGGGTTTGCGTGGAGGTGAATTTGGAGTACACGCTCCCAAATAGAGTTTGGATAGAGAGGAGTAACAATCGTGGTTTCTGACACAGTGTTATACGAGAAGAAGCCCAATTTTTTTTGTTACTGATGGTGTTGGTTAATGGATTTAATCATCACAATAGGAAATTAATTTTCCTTTGAAGATTAAAACTATATGAATAAAAGGATCTTAGTAACCTTGAGATCATTGGATTATAAAAATCCTCACACATAGAAAGGGGAGATGATAACCTTTTGAAGGGGCTTTTAATGGCCTAGACAATTGCTTCCTCCCTTAGATCTTCTCCCTTGTTCTCCACTAGGTGTATTTTCTTTCAAGAAAGTGAAAAGTGGCTAACCTTAATTCTCATATGAAAATATGCCAATAAAGTACATATTTATAATGCCCTATTAGGGTTTAGAAATTGCACAAATTTCCTTGGACTTTATTGTAGTAGACCAATTGAGTCACACCTTTTATTGGAGTCAAGAGAGGGACCTAATTGGACTCACATGACCTAAGCTCCAATAGATGTTTCCAATTGAGTCAACTCTTGACCAATTGAGATACATCTATTAATCCCGGTTTATTCTACCAAAAAATCGAGATTGCACTCTCGAGTTGAGTGATAGTTATAGAAGCAAATTATGATCCAGTAACAATATCCTCTGATTATCGTTCCACAAGTCAAACCTCCATTTGGCCGCCAAGATATTGAAACTGGCAAAATGATCGCTTTTGCCCTTCAACATGTATTACCCTCTAAGTACCATTTTCATATGGCAAATTCGTTGTGATCAAATCACAATGTAAAGTCCATATATCTCATCGTCGACCTACTGAGCTTAGGTTCAATTTGCCTAGGAAAATATTTTAGAGTGACGATCGTCTCATCTCAATGATTAATTGATTCCACTATTGTAAATATATGATTTCTAATTGTTTCGGCCCGATTCCCAAAGATCGAGATCAATCTTCTATTTAAGACTTCACTCATTGGTACCTCAAAGAACTTGAACTAGCAATCAAAGGTACATTTACTCACTCAAGATTTAGGTGATCCGTTTGATAATCAAGTAGAGTCTCATTTCAAAC